AAAAAAAAAAAAAAAAAGGCAAGGAGCAGAAGCACAAACAAAATCCAGGAGTCAGTGTCACGTAATGAAAAATAAAAAATAAAAGGAATCACTCCCCCTCTCCTCTTCTCACCCACTTTGTTACTATGGGACTGGCAGAAAGCTCTGGATTATAAACACCAAGGTCCCACTCACAAGACAATTAAGCAGCTCCAGAGCTTCCATCGACCACCCACCTCCGCGCTCTGCGCAAGGTCTGCGCCTCCCAGGGAAGCTGAAATGCCAAAAATCCACTGTGCCAGCTGAAAAACACGACTTGGGTGCTCCAGAGAGCAGGGGCACCCTTTGGAAACCGGAGCTGTTTGTTTTTTGAAGGAATCCTTGCTTATTTTGCCCCCCTCGGCGAGCGGTGAGGGCAAAAAAGGAGGAGTTAATGCCGCGCTCAGGTTTGTCCTGGGCAGGGGAGATGGATCACAGCTTACAAATCCCACATGGAATCAAGAGCAGAAATAGGGGGGAGATGACCATGACAGAGAGGAAGCTCAGAAACAGCGTGTGCAGGTACGAGAGATGGACGAGCAGCAAATTTCTGCCTCTGCTCCCACCAGTAACCAACAATAAACCAGACAAGATGGTAAACACTGCAAAAAGACAATTACTAATAATGAAAAGGCAGTAGAGATTTTGGGCCACTTCCACCGACTGAGTAAGGCGTTTTCAAACTGACAGCAAAGCGCTGGTTGCCAAATGAAAATGAGAGCAAACAGCAAAGTTGTGCTTAACCCCTTTCTGCTCTTAGGCTGCATTTTAGACCCAGATGAAATCATGGAATTTAGAAGAGAAAGCCCACAAAGGAGACATTTTACTCAGCTCTTTTGGTCAGTGTTTCCATCACTTCAGTACCCAGAATCCTCAGAAAAGTTATTCATCTCGGGTCCTCTCCTCAAAACCAGGTTCCTGAAAGCACGACGGGTTTCCACGTGCAAAACCCGGGTCAGGAGCACCCGGATTTGGGAGCAACTGAACTGGGATTCTGAGTTATCCTGCAGAAGGTGAATGCTAAATGTGTGAGTGCACTGAAGGACAGCCCAGAACTCTCCAAGGAGCAGCCCCAGAGTGGCAGCAAGGACTGACCAGCAAAGGTGAAATCCCGGGATGCCGAGCCAGGCAGGTGTGCAGAGCTGGGAGGAACAGGACGACTCCAGGCACTGCCAACATCTCCAAACATCTCCAAATTACCCTCGCTCTGCTCCCAACCAACTCCAACAGGAACTCCAAGAGCATCCTCTGGGAAACACCAACATCCAGGCTGCGGCCTCACACCCTCCCAGGCAGGAGCTGACAGGGGCAGGTGCTTCTCCTTCGCACCCAACCAGCAGCAGAACCGATTCAGACCAAATATTTACCCTCTCCCGACACGGAGGAATAAAAGGAAAACATTCTACCACAAACCCAGCCGTGTTTTTTTGCGTCCCTGCAAAGCTTCGGCCGCCAAGCAGGCTCCTGAATTTCCTTTAGGAACGATTAAAGGCCAAAAAAACGTTGACACGAGCAAGAGCAAGCACAGAAGGGCCCCGACATCCCAGAAATCCGCACCAGAAGAGGCGTCCTGTGCCCCGGGGAAGGCGCATTCGTTACGCCGGGAATTGCTGCTGCTGATGGGCTTTTGCGGAGACATCACAAGCCAGCCGAGGGAGGGTTTGGAAGTGCAGCGATTTGCACCTACGACAGCCCCGAGTGGAAGGGGGAGCAACGCGGGCGGCACCGAGCCCCGGCAGCCCCAGGCGCCCGGGGGGACTCCGTGATGAACAACGAGCGGCTGGGGATGCTCCGAGGGCCGGGGATGCAGGGCTGGGACCCCCCCACCTCAGCCCGGGGAGGAACGCGGAGCCCACCTCGGCCTCCAGTGCAGGCACCGGGACACCTGCCCGGCCCCGGGACCCCCCTCAGCCCCCGGGGAAGGAACGGAGCTCCCCCCTCAGAGCCGGGGCCTGTCCCGAGGTGGCACACCAGGACCCTCCTCAGCCCTGGGCCTGTCCTGAGGGGGTGAAACCGGGATTCCCGGGGAGCGGGACACCATCTCCCCCCGCCTCATCCCCCCTGGCAGGGTCCCCCCGCCGCAGCCCGGCCCGGCCCGGCCCAGCCCGGCACAGCGGGGCCCGCTCCGCGATGCCGCGACCCTCCGGCCTGGGGGGGAGAGACACCGGAGCGCCTCCCCCCGCGGCAGGTGCCGGGCTCCGGAGGATGCTGCGGGCGGGCCCGGCGCGGCCGAGCCGGGATGGAGGAGGCCGAGGCGGGGGGTTTGGGGAAGGGAGGGGGATGTTACCGTGAGGGGGGGGCGGCCCCCCCTCAGCACCCCCCTCCCGGGCACTGCCCGCCCCCGCCAGGGGGCGCTGCCCGCCCCGCCCGCCGCCGCTGCCCCCGGCCCGGGGGGCTCCCGTGGGGAAGGGGGGTGGTGGGGACGCCGCCCCTCACAAACCTCCCCCCCCTCCCCAACGCCCGCCCGCCCGCCCGCCCGCCTCAACCGGGGGCGGCCCGCGCCGCAGCCTCACCCGGTGCGCGCGGGTCAGGCTCAGGTCCTTCATGACCTCCTCGAAGGCCGCCGTCTCCTCCGCCTGCTTCTGGTTGTGCAGCGCGATCTTCTCGCTGAATTTCCGCGGGTTGTTCGAGGCCGCCATCTTCCCCCGTCCGCATCCCCCTCCCCGCCGGCCGAGGGGGGGGGGGGCGGCGCGCATGCGCCTGCGCCACGCGGGGAAAGGCGGGG